AAGTTGTTATAGCACTTTGGCTGCAGATTAATCAGGCGGTTTTCCACAAGTTGGGAGTAGCATTGTATATCACAGGTTTTCGTCCCGCTCCCCTCCCCCCTCCCCTATGTACTGTACTGTACTGAGGACTTTTAGACATAAGCCCTGGGGAGGGGGCAGGGGGAGCAAGTTAACGAGTTTAGACCATCTCCTTTCACCCACAAGTGAGGCTGCAAAGGGTTCTCAAACTTCGAGCAATACTGAGCGGTCAAGCGGTTATACCTTCACTTAACACTGAAATGTACTGAAAGCTGTCGAAGCCAGTATCAAAATGGTGGGAATGCACTCTTACTGAAAATGCTCGTTTCCATGGCTTCGAAACGAACAGGTTGAATACGACAGATTGGTGGGTTTACGACGCAGTCGTGTGCAGTCAGGTGTCACCACAGAGTGACTGGAGTCTCAGTCGTGGAATTTCTTCAAAAATAAGGCCAAGAAATTAAAGAAAAGGCAACGATTCATGAACTGTTAGGCTTGTCCTGGTCACAACTATTCACGGTGTCATTTCTACGGAAGTTATGGCAAAACGACAGTTTGTAAGAGAAAAGCCTGGCGCTAACCGTCGATTGACCAGAAATTCGGAGCGGTCGTAGTTTGCGCTGCAATGAGGGAAAATCAAAATGAAGGCCGTGTGAGGCTTGAAGATTTATGTTCTTCTTTAAAGGCAGCAACAAAGTATAAAAACAACATGTGGTTTTAGATTCGCAGTAATTTTCCAACCTTCATGGAAGTTTATCAGTAATTGCATGCCAATAGCAGGACGGGGAATATTGAAACATTACAAATCCTTTTTTATGTGACCACATCAACCATCGAAATTTTTGAGGACCTGTGAAAAAGCCCATGCCCATGCTTATGACTTTTCGTATGAAGGACAACCTAACTACTGCCGTTTCACAGGGGCTTATGTTTGAGACTGAATGTTGCGCAGATTCAGCACAGAAATCTGTCAAAACAATATAAAACCAGATCACTTGACACCTCTCATCTTTAATATCTACATTATATAAAGTGCTCATAAATTTATTGATATTTACTTTTCATAGAGAAACAAAAACAATTACTTCTGCGAAGAGTACAGTAATGATAGATTGAGTAGCGGTTGAAAACAGTAAATCTCGTAAGCAAAATATCTCAGATGAAAATCTAAAGCAAAAAAAATAACCGAGCATGAGTGAAATTGAGATAGTACTAAAGCTGGAGCAGCCTTCCAGAGAACTCAAATTCGTCACCTATCAGCAGCGTTTTCAAGATTACCATTCAGTTTTGATTCGCCGCATCTCTTCCTTTCTCTTGCGTTCCTTTTCAAGCAACTTCTCCTGGATGGCTATCATTTTGTCGCACATCACATCGAGTTCAATTTTGCCTTCGCTGTTTTCCGCATTCAAAGCCACCAACATTTGACGCTGTAAAAAGGCCTTCGTAATGACACTCGTTAACTGAACGCACAGAATTCGGATGTTTTCATTATAATTGAAAGGAACCTAAAGTCACTTAAAGATTCAAAGAAGTTAACAATTTTGATGAAGATTCAAAGTAAAACACTTGAAGGCAGCGCCCACGTTCATCTGATGTTCCCGCGCCCTCCCTGGATATCATAACCTCCCTATGAGGATGTGTACTAGTTTTGCATCTCAAAAAGGCGAGAGGACAGCGCCGTTCGCTAGTCAAGAGTCGGCCGCCCCGCCCAACTAGCCAGCAGAGGGTTCTATACAGAGTATTTTCCATGATTTTTTTTTCTGCTTTCTTCTTCACTACTGCTTACGTGGTATATGGGCTCCATAACTCATTATTCTTGAAGGCGGGCTCAGCCTTTAAAGCCTAAGCCAAAGCAGTTATGGCACAGGTGGGCGGGGCGGCATCCTCTTCACAAGCGAGTGGCACCATCCTCTCGTATTTTCGAGCTGCGAAATTAGTACATCCTCCACCATGCTACGATATCCAAGGAGGGCAAGTAACGTAGGAACATCAAATGAACGTGGGTGCTGCCGTTTTGAATCTTCATCAAAATTTGGTTCCCAATGACATATAGTTACAACTGTAATTCTTAATACTGAATAACTGGTTCACGGACAGCACAAAGCGCATAGGCGTTGTTGTTCGCCAAGAAGTTTAGAAATTTTTTCTTACCTGGAGGCCAACACACCACAATGTCGACGAGGATAAAGGTCCTCGCCGTTAATCAATCCCTTGGTGGAATGCGGCACGCATTCTACTTCCATTCAGAATCCTAGTGGCTTATTGAATGCGATGTGGCCTACACAATGAATCGAAGACCAGCCGATGCACAAGTCAGTGTTTTATCTTCCCAGACGAATGTGGTACCAATTTACCGCCCCGAAGGACAGAAGGCTTGGTTGGCCTGGGCGATAGTTGACCAGGGATTTGAACCCGGGACCGCGTGAGTGGTAAGAGCGCCACTTGTCACTACTCGAAGAAATGGTGCAACACACCCAAACCCTTTGAAAGGTACCACCAAAACTGTGGCTATACTGTTAGAGCATCCTCTCTGGAAGCGTAATACCCGCCCCGCAGGGAATTGGCAGAATTTCCTTGCTGTACAAAAACTTGCACAACAATGGCAATTGCTCCCTAATCTGCTGTGCTCACTGTAATCTAAAAATATTTCAGTTGGCGCACTGGTCAGTACAGGTGCCTGTAGCAACATGGTTCCGAACCGAAGACGGATGCACAACAGATACCGCATGATCGATATCTGTTGTACCTTCGCTTGTCATCATTTAACTTCATTATAGAATAAACCTACGAAAAGTTACCTATTTGAAACCGTCATAGTTACATACCAGTTCATGTTCTGTTGCCTCCGGAATCCAGAAACGATCCTTGGCCTTCGACCAGTTGGTGATGGCTTCCAGTGGGGCGTCTTGACCTTCAATTCGCTCTGAGAACATCAGGTTGCCAATATTCAGCGTGGGGAGATAGGTTCCACTGCAAATAACAGTTCTCGACCATTACTGGCTAAAAGAACGACACTGTGCACTTGATGAATAGCGTTGTCGTTCGCATCACGCATTTAACATTAAAAAAAGGGGGCCCACTTGGGGGCGGACCCACTTGTGAGAAGGAATACTTTCTGTGCAGTAGCTGAAGTCTGCGGTCTACAAATTGTTGGGTGTCACTGATCTATCTATTCATTGTAAGCGTGGATTCCCAAATGCGGTGGTTGTTCTACTCTCCCCATATCGAATGGTAAGGGTGAGGTGATAAGGAAAAAGAAATGGCACCAACCAGGCGGAAGCCACTCGTCCGAGCCCGACGAACTTTCTTGGCCTCATGCAGTACAAGCATGATTTCGCATGGCGCGTTTCGTATGGAAGCACTCTATGCAGAGCTTTCAATGCCAGGCCTGTTTTTTACTCAGTTTTTTGCGAGGCAAGAAAAGAAAGGAGAAGGTCAGTATGCCACTTGTCATTATTAATAATTAGCATAAAGCCATTTTTGAACGCGGGGCGCGCTTTTAATGCTCATGAGGCACTTGGAATCTCTGGTGCAGCTTCACTTTCACATGCTATGTTTAATGCTTTCATTCCGCGTCCAGTGTGTTTCCAGGAAGATTGGTGACGAGTTGCGGCTATCATGGGTAACTTGAAAGCAGTTGGCACGATAAATCCCTAAGACGAGTGGGATCAATACGCCTGGCAGGACGGGATTCCGTGCCCATGAACAGGCGCTGCGTAGCCTTTTCTAAGGAAAGCATCCTTATTAGGGCCCTATCGAACTACATCAAACCGATTCGGACGCCCTCTACGCTCAAACGGACAACCGTTCCTGACGCTCGTATTGATTCGTTTGCTAGGCAAACTATGAAGCGAAGGGATTGGTATGAAGCGACAGCGGAGCCGCATGGACGTATGAGTGCATACATGCAGCCGCATCTTCGGTAGCGGTTATTGGCAAGATGCATATGGAAAACTCGTCCGGAATTGATTTTCAAGTCAATAGACGAAGGCTGTTTATTCGCAGGTTTTTAACCGTTTCACTCCTGTTCTTTCGCCATTTTCCCCATTATATAGCGCCCTACTAGCATTTTAGGCCGAGTACCAAATTATCGTGCCAAGTGGCTTTAAGACCAAACTATAGCTGCACACTGAACTCTGCGGTGAAGGTTTTGGTGACAAAACTGAGATCCCTGTTATATTCTCTTCAACAGGTGTGGCCAAATCATTGATAGTGCTCTACAGTGTTTTTATTTGGGCAAGTAAATGACGTAAACTGACGCATATTTCATGACGGTGCCGATCACTAGTCCACACTTGCAGTGTACATCGGCAAGGATCTGCGTGACTTCATCAACAAATTTCATCTGAAAACGTCACAGTAGAAGAGTATCGAATCCAATCCCTCCTTTTTTTGCTACAAAATAAGTCCTCATTCAAATGTCGTTCCCCACGTTTACTTACAGAATCTCTTCACTTTCCTCACCTTGCTTGACATCTCTTTTGTTTTGATGTTCATTCGAGACCATATAGTGGGATCAACGCACACGTAACTCGAGCCATTGATCGTACGCACATCGGTGCTAGTGCAAATTTCAGTGCTGTCGATTTTGCAGCGAAGTGTAAACCTGAACTAATTGCGTATGTGCATATGTATGTATCCATATTATAAAAAACGTCAGCGCGGTTGTTGCGTTGGGAAAAATCTTTCCCAGTTATTGACTTTTCGCGGTTTATCCCCTTTCACATCGGTACCCCTTCCCCCTCTGAGTTGGTGGCACCGCCAAACAGGATACATCGTTGTTGGGGAATCCCCAATAGGGGAGTCGTATTTGGGCTGGGAAAAATTTATTTTGATAGTTGATTTTTCTCGCTTCACGGACGTTGTAAAGGGGGGGGGTCGTATTTACGTTTTGGCGTTGTAGGAGTGGTGGTTGACTTTTGGTGATTTTCCTGTTTCATGCGTACTATATGCCTCTCCCCACCCGCCCCCGCTCGACAGCAAAATTTTTGGGAAAAAGTAGGGAAATTTTGGAAAAAAATGGCAGGAAGTTGGGGAAAATCTAAAAAAATTGGTAGAGGGGGGGGTCGTAATGTCTCGCGACTGTTCCTGTTTTCTCCTTCACATGTGCTATTTACCCCCTCCCCCCCCCCCCCGCTCGACGGCTCGATTCGATGAGGAGGAACAGAGGGCCGGAGGGGGGGGGGGAGGGGGTGGGTGGCCGTACCCCTCCAAAAAAAAGGGGGAGGGCGTACAGACTCGACTAAAATCCCCAACCAATGATGTGCCCTGTCGCCTCTGTACAAATACTATTAAGGATAGTTGAAAATTGTGGTTGGTTCCTGACGACCTCTCTGCCCCTGCCCCTCCCCTTTGGGTGAAAAACTGGAAAATATGGGATTGGAAAAATTGGTAGGAAGCTAGGAACTTATGGGAAAGTGGTAGGTAGGTGTTGGGGAAGGAGGGGGGGGGAGGGTCGTATCGAGATCCTCACTCGGGGGGAGGGTTGTGCTGACACCACTATTTCACAAATCACGATGCTGTGCTCTGGTTACAAGTCACGGTGGAACACCTTGATTTCAAGATTCTAGAGTAATACTATTAAATTTCAAAGGTACGCTACCGTAGGGGCAGCGATCGTATCTACAAAGAATGGCGCACGTTCGCTATATAGAGGTGAAAGGAATTTCAAAATTCCTGCTAACACACCGAGCCATCCTGCAAAGTGAATCCACGAAATGAAGGTGAACAGGTAAAGATGGGGAGTATGGACAAGCAAGAAGTCCTAGACAGAAGAGGGTTCCGGCGTCGCCGACCGTTTGGACTCCACAATTTCGGCACCGAGCTCATTTTTAAATTGCCTAAGTCACCAAATCCGCTAAAAACTTGTATTAGGGTAGTTTAACATCCTGATTACGAATATGACATTCACTCTTGCCGCTGGCGCTAATGGATGACACTACGATTATCTGCGCTCCGCTAAGGCTGAGCCCAAGAGGTAATCGTAGTGTCATCCCTTGGCGCCAGCGCCAAGAATGAGTGTCATAATTGTAATCACGATGGTAAATAACCCTTGTGTACATGTTTTCAGCGGGTTTGGTGACTTAGGCAATTTAAAAATGAGCTCGGTGCCGAAATTGCTGGAGTCCAAACGGCACTAGCCCATTATTGAAAGGCACAGTATTCACGTGAAATTGCACAAAGTTTGGTCGTCTCCGCTACAGACGCTGAAAGGCGCCGGAATGGATGAGGTAGAGGATGGGAGAAGGTCGCATTGACTTGACGCCAACTGCTCCCCACCATCGCGCGGTCGCTCCAACAGTTGACAGCAGACGAGCTGGCCCTGCACCATATCCAGCCCCTGACACGCCCCAGCGTCTGCAACGAAAATGACGGTAATCAAGGCGTTCTTTACAGCTTTTTTTGCTGCTTCCTTTACAAAAGCATTTCGTGGTTCATACAATTAGCGCTACGTGGGCTACTGTGCCATCGCCCCAGCGCCTTTGAAGACAGTTCCCGCGATCAGGTGCTACCGGTAGTGGGTGCTCAATCATGAATCGGTAGCCCACAAGTAACTCCCCAGTAGAGAAAGGACGCGAAAAAATCTTTGAAGAACTTCCTGGACAGAGGCCTCCTTAGCAGTGAGGCCAGCGCCAGGACAAGTCTGTCGACTTCGGCAGGCCTAATCAGCAGGATTCGGTGTGCAACCCGTTCCCGGCAAGAGCACAGGAAATCACCCTACGACGCTCCAGGCAACGCTATGTACACACGCATTCCGCTTGTAAGCCGTTGTCTTGCAGAGTGAAAGTAATCGTGGTTGCAATGGTTGCAATAATCACGCGTCTCTAGCTTCTTTATCTCGCCGTTTCGAGTGACGAAAGTGGTATATTCTCTGCGAATGCGGACAACAGTGCTAATTTCACGAAAACATTTCGAGAACCAACTGGTCTTTAAGGCACGTGGGCAAGTCGCATGTCCCAAAAGTATTCACCTATTCCGAACTCATAAGCGGTTCTTCACCGTCCCCCCCCCCCTTTTTTTTTGCTAATATTGCTACCTTCCAGAGACTACTGCCTCGCAACACGCGGATTCGTATGGTTTCGTAGCGCTCAATTTCTTGAACTAAATGGCGCCTTTAGGCAAACTAGCGCCCATGGTATTCTATTCCGCTCAATTCTATTCTGTATGATCTTCTTATGAAAAGAACATTTCACCTGTTTATGACCAGATGCTGCCGCTGATTTTGGGCCCTCCCATAGAACCAAGCACAGTGACTGCACAATTACACTTACATTTTATCCTTCAATGCCTCACGTTCTTTCATTCGCTGCTCCACAGATCGCTGACGGTCTTTCGCCTGTCTCTCCATTACATCCAATACCTGAGCATTCAATTATGAGTCGATCATATAATTCAAAACTTCGGAAATATTGAACTTCTCTCCGTACTTTTTTCTCGAGCGCCCTTTCGCCTAGATCTTGAATACGCCTCACGCACTTGTCCATAATCTTCTCGGCCAATATTGCTTGATATTCCGTTTGGGCTACATTTTCTGACAGCACGATCAGGACAGAGCGACTATCTCGAGCACGTGCCCTACCTGCAAAAGCATAGATTTATAGTTGAGAACACGCAACCATGTTAGCAGTACTCTCTTGCCTCTTCATTGCGAGTGCCTTATTCCAAGTGCCTTGAACAAGTATTTCAAGTATGTGCCTGGAAACCAAACAGTTCCGCTCCCTTCCCCCCCCCCTCTGACGCAACGCTGGGTAAGTTTATGTGAATGAGACATGGGCGAGTAATTCATCTATACCGATAGCGCTCGAACGACTGATCAACTCACAGAGTTCCCGATGTCCCCCATAAGAGGAAAAATAACAAACGACAAAATAACTAGAGTTTCGGTATGAGCTGCGTGAGACATAGATAGGGGTGGCAGGCGGACAGACTAACGATAAGTGTAGCATCCTAGAAAGAGGAAAGACGATAATTGTAGCATGTTAGAAAGAGGAAAGAAGTATACAAGAACAGTAATAGACGAAACAAAGTCAAATCGCGAAGAAGGAGATGGACAGGGATAGGCAGGACGGCATGCGTGCACGTATCAGACTAATGAAACTATTCAAGAAGGAAGAGCTCTTCCGGCCTTTTGACTTATAAGCGTTCTGTAAAAGCTTTGTGGGTTTATTTTGGAGGATTGGCAGTGTTAAAAGGTAAGATCGGTGTGATATGAAAACACCTACTACAGTTGTAAGGACAAGCCAGTTTTCCACGACGCCATGCTTGGCTCTGTCTGACACCATCGTGATGCCATTCTACTGTTGGACTGTATCGTTCGCGAACAATTTCCAAAGAATCTTCCAAAGCTGTTATGTAAACAAATGAATAGCCGTCAGCCTTGCGGTTCAGCGCCGATATCGGCTAACCTGCTTATCATATCATGGTGGTGACTGCTCGAAGGCAGGCACAAATATCCATCGAGCTGAGAGGATAAGAGTGGCCTCGGTAGCGTAATAGGGAACGCAACCGAAAGGAAAGCGGCAGATGCGGTTGAGAATCCTGCCTGTGGCCTGACTTTTGCCCACAAATAAGCCCTCTTTTGATACACCTTTAAGCGTCCAGCAAAACGATTGCATGAGTAAATCCCTTCCACAGAATTGAACTGCTCTTAAAATTCCCTCTCTTGCTACTTCATTTCCTTATTCTGCTCCCTTATGAAGGCACGATGCTTTTCCTGTTGCCCGTTGCGTTGCCTAAAAGGCCCCATGAGCCAAGCTATAATTCGGTACATGCTGGAAAATAGTGGCAGGGGTGCCATATACCGCTGTGGGGGGGGGAGGGGAAATGACGAAAAAGTGAAGTTAAACGACCAGAAACTGCAAAAAAGCTTTGTCCTGTACAACAGTGAACAAGCATTTCTGGACGAGTTCCAGTTGGCATGGTGCCAGCCTGCTTTGATAGATACGTGTATGTAATATATCCATGGTAGCAATGCTTCATGTCAACTGTGCTCCATAAATCAAGCGATAAGTGTACCAGCGTCGATGTGACTGCCCGGCCATTTGTGGGCGGGAGGTTGCGGTGGGCGTTTGGGTCGGCACACTGCACCTTAGCTAGGCGCTATAACAATTCCCTTGGTTCGAAAAGGCACTACACAGCGCCTGTCAAGGGGCACAGCATTCTTCGTCCAAGGCGTATAGACCCTGTACGCTTTGTCAATTTATCATGCCACTTGCCGTCACGTATACTCGAGATCCCTGAGATCGGGTAGGCGTGGTTTCAATTCAAGCTGAAGGTTTCTATGCTTCTGGTGAGATATTTTCATCTTCGACACAATTGTCGTGTGCCTGTCCAACACAGAACAAGATGACAGTTGTCCCAGACTGGAATATTCCACGAGTAACCAATTCCGTGCCATGTTCAAATGCCACGCCTACTCTGGCTCAGGGATAATGGAGTGTACCTCAATGCCGTGTGAATGAGTTCTCCGGTGGAGTCGAGGTGGAGATGAATGCTTCGAAAACATTCTCGACTTCTTCAATTGAATCGGATGATTTGGAAAAATGAGTCTCGAAATTTCTTATTTTTAGCTACCTAACATTGTGGAGCACACCCTTTGTTTGTTTCAATATCCGACTGAACTCATACTAGCTAAGAAATAAGAAATGCGTTTGAGGTAGACTGTCGTACCTCTCCGTTGAACACGTTGCACAGCATTGCTGGAACTGTTATACTTTATGATAAGATTACAGGTGCTCACATCCAGACCCTCTTCGACAACTGACGTTGCAACTATCACCTGAAACCCAGCGTTAACAAGAAAGAGGTCAATCGATATCGTTACTATGTCTCTTTATAGCTATGAGGTTGTGCGACAAAGAACTTCTCCCAGAGTAAAAGCTACACACCTTCCTCCTTCCCGTGTTGAATTCATCGAGTACTCTCGTCTGCTCCTCCTGTGTTTGGCCGTACTCTGTGCTTCTTCTTTGAAGTACCTGGAATAGTCTGGTTATAAGGTCACATAACCCAATGACTAATAGTCCTGCATTCTGTCGTAAATTTCTGCGCGAGAAGACCCTCAGTACTAACACAGAACAAGATTTAGACTGTTATTGTTTGCGTGTTCAGACCCGCCCGTGGTCCGACTTTTGCCCACAATTCAGCATTCTTGTGATAACAGAACAAGATAGTGCGAGATTCGTGAGTGAAGTAAAAAGGCTTCTTCACGTTCTCCTGCCTGAGACATGGTCCTCCTCAACAAAATCTCTCGACCACTTCTTTGAGATGAGTTCAGTAACGTCAACCGCTGAAGCGTTTTTCGCAACCGTAGGAATGCTGAGACGTTCTTCGACTATACCACAACCTATGCAGCAAACAGTTCCTACGAAATAGCGGTATGTGTCCCCAGCGTAATACTGACTGTACGCTCTTCATAGTACGAACAGGCAATTAAGTCCGTGGGAAACGGAGCATCCCATCGCTCCTCATTGTCAGTGAGACAAACCGTGCACTGAGCATCGTGGATCCTGAGCTTGCCGTTTGTGAAGCAAATGGATCCACAGCTACAGTGGCGTGCCACCTTCTCCGGTCAACAGTGTACGCGGACGGCTGCAGGGTAGCACGACCAGCTACAGGCCTGGTCATAGCCGAATGCACTACTTATTTGCGTTCTTTCTTTTCTGGTTGTTCTTCATCTGCGATATCGTTGTTTTGTGGGTTACAGGTATCGACGCAAACACTGCATAGAGGATAGCGCGGGTTGAGTACGGCAAAGCAGCCGAGTATCAGTACCTTTCGGCCCTCTTTACGCAACTTTTCAAAAGGAGAAGTTGGCACGTTACTTGCGTATCCCTTCATCTTGCACATAGAAAGGACCTCTCGAAGGTTTGTGTAGAGTAAGTGCGCAATCTACGCTGCTCGCTCACTACCTTATAGCGAGAGTTCAGAAAAACCGCTCAAAATGTCAACTTCTTCGTCATCTTCTTCAGCGTTAATCCATTCTTGGGCAGGTACGCTCCAGCCTACCAACAACATAACTTATCACAGGTCTAATAGTGCCACAAATGTGAATTCTTATATGATTCAAATCTCTATAAGCCTGCGCCACCTAGGAGAACGAGTTGTGATTTTGACAACGTTCAATAAATGAATTGCTTCTAACGGGTGCTGAATTAGCTTGGCGGAAACCTTACATCATATTTTTTTGGACCTGAGACACTTGTCCGTATAACTGAAAGAGTTTGGCCGACAATGTGAACAATAATCATGGGTAACACTAGTGGTGTTGGTTGTACTAGCTTGCTTTAAATTCCTTGTTTTTCCGGTAAAAAGGAGAAATTCATCCCAAACCGCCAGCCTTTTTGACATTTCGCACCTTCAACTTTGGTTTGAGCGTGAACTCTGCCGAAGCCAAAATGGAGGAGGTGTATCATGACCATGCTTTAGTCACCGAAAAAAACTACCGCGATACCAACGCTTGAAGAGGTCACTCGAACGTCGAAGTCATGTCTGGTGGGCCGTATGCTTTCAACTCGACTGAATAACGGCTTGTGAAACTACAATGTAGAGTAGCGCTACCACGGATGACCTCAACGCACAGCACCCTCAAAACTTGAAGTGTGAAGTGAGCTGTCAGTCAGAGGGAAGCATTTGTACGCACTGTTTGTTCTCAACAGGACAGAGCCGGACCAACAGTGCAAATCCAAATCGAATCTCATACAGAACTGCTGGACTGCTCTTCCACAGCATAGACAGCACCCTTTGTGACTGCTTTCTCGTTGATCCCTGAAGGACGTTGATGCCTGACACCACTATCTCGTTACATAAACGAGAAAAGCTTCACGAGAGAAGTTCAAAGAAAAATTGAGCTGATGTCCTATTTGCGGTGTGCCAGCCTACATTTTAAAGAGATCCACAGCGTGTCCGGACGCTGGCAAGCTCTCAAGTGCATGTATACATATTAGACTTTATACATATGCTTCTCTGCAATAAAAAAAGTCTCTTTTCAAAGGTGACAAAACATTCCCGCCAAGCCAATTTGCATGAAATTGCAAATGAAGTAGTCCACCATAGTATGTTAGAGTCGAGGACCACTGGATGTCGATCTGCTAAAACATTAAGGAACTTTGATCATTGACTCCACTTACTGGTGACAAATCCAACGAGATCTCGACGACCCAGCACCTCATCCGTGTTCAAATAGTGCATCAATTCCACCGCAGTCGAGCGTCGCGTAACGAAGATGATTGCACGCGAATTTTCATCTTTTTCGAACTGATCCTTCAGCTCTTTCTGAAAAGGCATATAAGAATGACTTGGCAGAAAATGAAAAAAAAGTTGTGGCCCCAGCGGCAACTATTTCCCATTCCATCTGTATCATCTAACATTTTCAAACACAGAGCTCAATCTGCACATGAGTTTTCTTTCAGTTGACGTAGAGAAGATGATAGACACTCACCTGCGTAATTGACTGGCTGATATAAAACATTTATACTCTTTTGCATCATTCAGCTGATGGTCAGCCTTTTATGCAGAAGGAACCTTCATGAATAGCAAGTAAAGAGCTTGTTTTTATCTGATTTCCAGTCCAAACACTCTGAACATATGTGACTGAACTTGCTCGCTTATTCAAGGTCCGGATTCCAGAAAGCAACTATGACTGCTAATCATCACCGAAGTAAGCGCAGTGTGTCATCAGATTACTTTATATCAAGTTAGTGTAGCAGTTTGGGTGCAGCCTGAGTCCTCAAACACAGCAAACCGTAAGGGTGATCTTAGGCAGCATTCAGACTCCGTGATAACACACTCTGACGCGCTGTAACGCGCTGTAACACGCTAGAGTTGCAAAAGTGCTCCAATCATATGGAACCGAACGCAGTCGGAGATCGATCGGCGCCGCCTAAGCGGCAACTGCCGATATACCAGACTGCATTATTAAGTCACCGCGTACCCTTCATTCCTCATACTCTCTCAGCATACAATGGAGCCGATCTATTCCCCTTCGCGTCTTTAACACGTTGACGACCGCGCGGGTTTTTACTTTTTCGGCCTCGTGGGACACGCGCGCTTTCTCGAACGCCACAAGCGCGGTACGCATACAATTCACGCGGTCCCACGAGGCGCTTTTTTGGAGATTGGATCGGAAAACCTGGTTGAGAGAGCAATTATGAAGTAAGTCAATCATTCACTATGGAAAAAACTAGGCTGGCCAACTCTCGTTGCACTAGGTGCCAGAAATTTGTCTGTAACCAATGTTTTCATAAAAAACACAAGTCGTGCCTTCTACAGGACTCAGAATCCTTCATCTTATATTTTTCAATCATTATCAATATGGTATTTATCTGCATTTGTTAGTAAAGTGTTGAAGAGCAAACCAAGAGTTGAGGAGCAAACCAGTCCAAGCAAATGGTGTTCTTTCCCCAAGAAGTCTTTGCTAAACTAGTGTGTACTGAATTATTCCATAGACTACGCATTGTACAAGTATACTAAGGACTGAACTATAGAATGAATAGGAGAAACTAAACAAAAAATCATGCACTAGTGAAAGATATGGATTTGTTGATCGTGATTCGTATTCAATGCACGCGGTCCCACGTGGCCTACAAAGCGTGCATTCAATGCGTATCACGCGGTGGTCAATGGTTAAGGTTGTAGCGCTCTAGCGATTGCAGCGCGTTACAGCGCATCGAAGCCCGTCACCGCAAAGTCTGAGCGCTGCCTTACTCGTTAGTCATGACGCACTTCATACCTTCGATTCGAATACTTGCTTTTCGAATACACAATATTGTGAAGCCTTGAAACTTCTTGTTATACACCCGATAATTGTTGGCCACCTTAGCTAGCTTTGTAAGTAGAACGGGTGAAGAATAAGATGCTATGCTAACTCAATAAGGCCACCAATGCAGCGCATTGTTACAAAGTTTAACATTTCCAAGTCACCCAGAGTAATTATTATTTCGTTCCTCCATGTGATGGTCAAGCTGCGCGCTACGAAATTCGAATACTGACCAACTGCATGGCGCGACATTTTCTGGCTGGCAGGCGCGTATACCTAAGCAACTTTTTCTTTCTCCGCTGCGGGCTATGTTGTCTACGAACGCCTAGGAGGCTGGCTTTGGCGTGGCGCCAGCCAGTTCTACGTCAATTGCGGTATCTGGCAGGCGACCACAATTGGCGGAAAACAATTTGCGGTGCGACATACCCAAACCCCTCACAAGCCCTAGCATCCGCAGGGAACAAGAGTATTTATGAGTCGTGAGGAAACACAGTGGCTCCCGAAAATTTTATGGTCAACTCGGCTTCAAAGGTGCACCTATCAAAGGAGTCCTCACCATTCAGTATCCCAAAAAAAATTTTCCGTACACTGGCTTAATACATTGAAGAAAACGCTCCTCTCTAGGAGAGAAAACAGTTTTTACAGTGTTTCGCGTGACTGATTTCTCACCAAACAGATGAAAAGAAAATGCTCGATAAATGCTCAGTGCTATGATCAGCTCTTTCATGCCACTTATTTTGCCAATTGATCAGCAGTGTTCTGCTCAAGTTTTCTTGAACTTTGTGAAGTGCAATAAAATAGGCCACATGAAAACTAACCTCCAACACAGCTACAATTGGCTTTTTGGGTTCCTCCCTCGCCGATCTGATGAGTTTCTCTGAAAAACCTTTTTCTTTCAGAAGTTTCAGCTAGTGACTCATTACTCTTCGTTAACTCAAAAACTTGCCGACGCTGTGGTATCCCACAGCAAAAATCATGGCGAAGTTAGTCGGAAATGATACTGATCTTCAAGCCACCTCCAGATGTCAAGCGGTGAACGGAGTAAGGACTAATTTAAGCCGCCTTCGTAATCCGCGAAGTGAACATTTTACTGATCGTAACCGATCGTGCTCCACCGCTAAGCGCTGGACAACGGCAACTGTCAAAGAAAGCTCCACCTT